TGCCTGGAGGGTAGAGGCTGTGAGGGCTGTGAGGTGTCTCAGATGCTGGTGATGCTGAGCTGGGGTGGTGGGGAGCTGTCTGCTTCGTGGAGAAGGTTTCTAGAGCACAGCAGGGATGCACAGAGCTGACCATAGAATTAGAGGGTCCTGTCATTGCTGCGTGTCCCACGGGTAGGCACAGGAGGACGGGAGGAAGCAGGGCTGTTGCAATGGGGCTTGGCTTCAGCTCCCTTTAAGCACAGTCGAGAACCAATTCAGTGAGAGGCCCCTTGCTGTGCCTTGGTTCCTCCTGTGGCAGGGCTGGGGGGACCAGCAGATGGTGCTGGCTGTGTCCCAGGGTCACTGCTGGCCTGTGGTGGAGTGAAATGACACATTTCACACTGGTTTTGCTCCCGTGCAGGGTCATCCCTGGGGGCAGCAGGAGTTTCTACCCCAGGAGTGCTCCCTGGGTTTGCCCTGCTCGTCTCCCCTCTCTCTCAAGCTCAGCACTTGGATGCTTTCTTGGATGCTGATGCCAAGGCTGAGCCTGTTACATGTGGTTGCTACATGTACTTGCCTCGTTGTGTTAGACTCCAGGGGGAAAGTGGCCGATGGCACTTCCCTTTCCCCCGAGGGAACTGTGGCATCCATCTGCCACGCAGGGAGGGAGCACAGTGAGCCCTGGTGAGGGGAGCTGGGCCAGGGCTGTGCCAGCCCACTCCCGGGCCAGCCATCGGCCCGCAGGGTGACCTTGGGCAAGTTGCTCTGCCTCTCCATGCCTCAGTTTCCCCATCTGTAAAATGGGGATAATAACACTGCTCTACCTCATGGGGTGGTTGTGAGGCTTCCTTGGCTAACGTTTGTGAAGTGCTGTGAGATCCTAGGATGAGGATGGAAAGACAGAGGGTCTTTGGGAGTGGACTCAGGTGACTCAGCCCCTTCCCAAGGATGTGAGACGTGAAAGGAACGAGCTGATCCTACAACTGAGGCTGACAATGTCCTTTACAATGTGACTTGTTCCCTATTTCTCCTTCATTTGTGGGTGTCTGTCAGTGAATCTGCAGGACAGGGAGCTCCCCTGTCCCCACTCAAATCACAGCTGAGCCATGACTCCCCTGGCTGTGGGAGCTTGTGCCCTGACAGAGGTGCTGGAGTGGGAGGTAGGTGAGGATTTGGTGGGCAAGGGGAGCAAGGGAAGGCTCCTCTGGAGATGGTGGTATGGAAGGCAACTTGGAGCCTTCACCAGGTGCACAGTGAGGTGACCACCCTGGGCTGGGGTCAGCAGCACTCACTGGAGCAGGGCTGTGTGCCTGGGACAGGGACAGGTACCAGCCCCTGGGTCCACACAGGTTCCTGTGGCTGCTGGTTAGGCAGGCAAGTGGGAGTTGGGATCCTGGTCCCCTCTCTGAGGGTCTGTGAGACCCTCAGGCAAAACACTTGACTCCTCTGTGCTTCAGATCCCCATCTGTAAAAACTGGGGACAGTGAGCCTGAGCTCAGTGAGGTGTGAGGTGCCCTGCATTGCTTTGCCACAATCCCGGGGTGGAAGGCACTGTCATGCCAGGTGTTGGCACAGGCCATCACCACGTGTGAGAGCCTGGGATGGAGCGTGAGCCCTCCCAGTCACCCCGAGAGCCCCCCTGACCCGTCCTTGGAGGAGCCCTCCCATGGGAGAGGACAGCGAGGCGAGGAGGGAGTTTTTTAAAGACCTATTTTTAGCTGTCCCAACCTGTTGGCCTTTTTTTAGCTGGTGAGTGGATGCCCTTCCACTTCCTGCCGGATATGCAATGCTGCACTATGCATGGATTACTCCTCTGGCTTGATGGAAAAAGTCCACATAAGCAGTTTTTTGGAATGTAACTCCATAATATGCACACGTGTGCGGGTGCTGCACGCTGCGCGGGGCTCCGGGGGCGCAGGCTGCCCCGGGGGCTGGTGCCACAGCTTTGGGGGGTCTGCAGGGGCTTTCTGGGGCACACAGGGGAGAGGGCCCTGCTGGGGGTGCGTGCTGCCACGGGGGTGTGTGTGTACAAACATAGAAATCCATGTGGGACGTACCTGCGTGTAAACACGGGATGTGTGCGCGACAGGCTGTGTGATGACTTACAGCACATTTTTGCACTGTAGAGGTTTAGTTAGCTTTGCCTTGAATGAAATAAAGTTTATGTTTACTAAAGAAACTCGCTGCGGTTTGGATTGATGTGGGTGTCTGTTTAGGTCTGAGAGGGAATAGGGGAAAATGACCCTGTGAGCGAAGGGACAGAGCGTTTGGAGGCTGTGTGAAAAAAACAAATCCTTTAATGGGGATTTGGGGATACTCTACAGCACAAACATCATTTCTCTCTGTAAAACAGGAGCGAGCAGACAGCAGCTCTGCCCCCCAGGAGCCATCCTGCCACAGCAGGGTCAGCACAGGGCAATAAATTACTCTTTCTCCGGAAGGGAGCTTGAACAGGTCACATTCCTTCACGGTATCGGTGCCTGTTGCTCCGAGACGCCCTTTGCCTCCTTGGCTGAGCTTTGGCACCCTAAATCACAGCTGCCAGTGAGGGTTTGGGAGCCTCTGCTCACCTTCTGTGGCTGGAGAGCCATGTCCCAGCTGCTGCTGGAGCTGAGGCAGCCAAGGGCGTAGGGATGGGGAGGGAGACTTGGGGACAGGAGTGACCTGGTCCGGCAGGTCTCAGAGCTCCGACTGCACAGAGAGAGGGAGAAAAGAAATTGGAGGTTTTGAAAGGGCAGTCAAAACCCAGAGGAAGACGGTCATGTCCTTCAGGAGCTGACTCAGCTGAAGGGGACTGACCCCTCACCAAAACCTGTGAAGCTGGCAGGACGGCACTGACCCTGCGGACGGACGAGATCCAGTCGAGGTAGGCACGGACACTGGTGTAGACACCTGGTGTGCTGGGGGTGCCGCAGCCCCGCAGCCCTGGCCCCAGCTGACGATGCCCACCACCTGCCAGTGCCCTCCTGAGTACAGGAGGGGCCCACCGCTGTCCCCCTGCGAAGGACAGACCCTCTGAGGGAGCTGAGGAGCCCCCAGCACGGCGTGTGCTGGTGCTCACAGCACCCACTTCCCACGAGGGGCCGTGTCACGGGTGTGTGCAGCCCACCTGGCAGGTGTCCACCCCTCCCTGGGGCAGCCCAGCACACAGCATCCTCTCGGTGACGTCCCCGTGATAGGCAACCAGGTTGCAGCTCCGCTCGTCTATGAGCTCCACCTCTGCCTGCTGCAGGTGCTCCGACAGCCTCCCTGTGCGACACGAGGCTGCTCAGGGGGCCCTGGGGGAGGAGGGAGCCCACCAGCCCCTCTCCTCCTGCGGGCAGAGTGGGGGGCTCTGTCCTCCCTCTCATCACCCCCGTGCTGCCCCACTCACCGTGCTCCTCTGTGTAGCCCCAGCCGATCACCCACAGGGGAGTGCCTGGCACCAGCTCCTCGTCAAAATAGGGCAGGCAGATGGGCTTGGCGCTGTCTGGAAGGGAGATGTCTGGGGGGGCTCACAGGGAAGGTGCTCAGGCACCCCACTCCCCTGCTGGGGCACAGCTCACACGTGGCCCTGGGAGCACTGCCACGCTGGACATCGCTCTCCCAGCCACTCCTCGGTGCCACCAGAGGACACTTGGGACTCCTGCCCCAAGGAGGAGTGTGCCACAGCTCACCTGAGACACGCACAGGAGAGCTCAGCTTCACCAGGGCAATGTCATTTTCCCTGGGGGAGGCAGGTGTCACATCAGCCAGGAAGACCTTGTCCACGGCGAGGGTGGTGGTGCCCAGGAGGAGGTCGGAGCCAGCCTGCACGCGCCAGCTCTGGATGATGGGGTTGTTCCTGGGCACAGACAGCTCTGTCACTGCTCCTGCTTGTCCCTCTGTGGGGACAGACAGCAGAGCTCTGCCTGCACCCAGCCCTGCTCAGCATCCATCCACCACATCGGACCAAGGAGCACAAAGCCCTCTCAGACGTGTGGATTACAGGACACTTCATGAACACAAGGCTCAAACCCTGCAGGGTTCAGCCTCCAGGAGCTGTCCCAGCCCTGGCACATCGTGGAGGTGCCCAACTCACTTGAAGCAGTGTGCAGCTGTCAGGACCCAGCTGGGGTCGATGATGCTGCCCCCACAGATGTGCTCCTTCTTGTACTGCAGGCTGACCTGCCAGGGCCAGGCCTCGATGGCAGCAGGGCTCCCTCCCAGCACGCGTGGCGTCCTCACACTCTGCCCACAGCCTGCAGGTGTGGGCCAAGGGACACGTTGGCTGGGACAGGGGAGCGAGGACAGAGGCTCCTGTACCTCCCAGCCAGGGGAGCGTGGCCATGGTGCCTCAGCCCTGTGACACTGCTGTCACCCCTCATCCCCAGGCTTTCTTCCAGGGGCTCAGCCATCCCTTCCCTGCTCCAGCCCATCAGGAGGATTAGTTCAATCAGGGTAATTCATCAGCAAAAGTAAACCCATCTAGGCAGCTGGGTAAGCCTCCCTTAGGTGTTTCATTTCTGGGAGGTTTGTACTGGCTTAACTAGGTTAGCAGTAATTAAATCCAACTCTTCTCATGCAAACGCCGCTGGAAGCAGGGAGGGAGAGGGCTTGGGCTGGAGCCAAGCTCCTGCAAGCCACAGCACAGCCCATGGGGCCATCCCAGGAGCAAGGACCAGGAGCAGCATGAGGCCCCAGTGCCTGCAAGGTGCAGCCAGCATCACGGTACTTACTGGAACAAAAGAGTGAAACGACCAACCCAGAGAGGCATTTCCTGGAAGAGAAAGGAAAAGGGCTGGATTTGGTGGAGGAGAGGCTCCAGCTCTGCTACCAGGCACTGCAGGCTCCTTCTTGGGACTCAGCAGCCCCTTCCCACAGTCCCCACTCACCGGCCAGGCACGAGCACCTGGAGGGTCCCATTGCTCAGCATGACCTCCTGGGGAGGCAGGGGCTGCCCCTCACCTGGCTCCACCTCCTGGAAAATGGGAATGCTGAAAGACACAGCAGGCACAGGTCAGTAAGTGCATCCAGGTGTGCTGCCAGTGGAGAACAAGTGCTGGGAGAGGACAGGCACTGATGCTGAGAACCTTGGGAACCTGCTCTGGTGAAGGCAGAGCTGCAGGTAGGTGGGGTGAGGTGAGGGGCAGGGCAAGGTGCCCGTGGGCTGAGGACAGAGCAGGACACACTGGGCACAGCACTCTGCTTACATGGGAGGCTGCCAGGGCTCTGAGCCAGCTCCTAGCGACTCATGGAGCTCTCTGTGCAGTGGGGATGGACTGAAACCATTAGTGCAGAGCTCTGAGTGCTTTGTAGGTAATCAGAGCCCCATTCCAGAAAAGCTTTTATGGGAGAGGGACAGATAAAGCCGTGGAGGGAGGCCTGGGGAAACAGCTGTGTACCTGCTGTAGCCCATCTGCTCACAGGCTGCTTTGGCCAGCGCCAGGTCGAAGCGGTCAGGGCAGACACAGGACCAGGCCCCAGTGTTCCTGTTGAGCACCTGCAGGATGGATCTGTCTTTGGAAACACGGGCTGGAGGCAGACACAAAGTCAGCTTTGGCATGGGGGGCTTTGGCAGGCAGAGGGTGGCTGCAGCAGCACAGCCCCTCTGGAGCTCTCAGGGGGTGTTCTGCACTCACCCACAGCTAGTGGCCCCTCAGGGACCCACTGGGGACAGTTGGCCTCGTCCTCACCCTGCAGACAGTCCACCTGCCCATCACACACCTTCTGCAGCGGCACCAGCTTCAGGGGCTGTTTGCAGAACAAGTAGTGGTAGTCCAGGTAAACCTTGACTAGAGGGAAA